GCCATGCAAGCATAGAATCTTTTTCGCTATGAGGCTTGGTATGGTGCTTGGTCCTTACTGATAAAGAGTAGAATTTTTTGTTTCAAGAAATGTGCCAGATTTTTTTCATGAAATTTTCCAGACCCAGCCCCACCCACCCCCACACAAATCAAATGGTCCACTCTCTTACCTGATCCACTACTTTTTTCTTCAAAATCAACTAAATCTTGCAGTCTGCAGACACAAATGAATATAGGTTAATATTTGCATAAAACAAAATAAATTGTTTCCACTGATCATAAAACAATTAACATACACAAACAAATGCGATTAAATAACAGAAAAATGTCTGATTTGGGTGAATATAAATCCAATAGCAATAGCATGATTACCTTTCTCTGGCTGCAACCATTGCAGCATCACTCAAATCCATTGGTAACGAAGAAAAAAATCCATCCATGGAGTAAGCTATCATAAGTAATTGGTATATAGGAAAATTATCATAAATAATTATTTAATTTCTTAAATTTCAATAACCAATATATTTCAATATTATACTGTGATTAGAATCAAGGCAGAAAATTATGAGATAAATTAAATTAAACTTTTTTCAGCATTTAAAGGTCTACCACATGAACACATCATAATTCAATTACTATTAACTGTGCACAAACATGAAATGCAAGAGAAGATACAGTACAGATTTTATTTTTATTTGCATCGCTTTTTCTGCTAATTGATCAAAGATCGAAAAGCTTGGTGGACAAAACAATTTAATTTGTATGTATTAATTGTTAAAACACATTACTGTGAAGAATTTCTGCAAGAAACTGTCTGTCTATATATAAATCAGAATATCTTTATATAGGCCTTAACAAGGACTACCTAATTATATGCATATGGTATGGAAAAGGATATCAACACTGTCTTGTCGATTACCACCTTGAAGATACTTCCATATGTGAGATGTCATTGAAAACTGATATGTGTGAGAATCATCATACAATAACCTAAATATAAAAATATAACAGGTCAAATATAAATCAAACAATTCAGCAGTTTATAATTGAGACATATGAACTAATTCACAGCTTAGCCAAGTGACCAAACTGCGTGAGAACTGGTTTGAATTAATCAAGTATACGCGTGTAAACGGAGATTAAGTATTTCTCTTACAAGGGCAATATTTAAAGGTAAATCTTATGATAGGTTAGTGTAGGTACTGTACTATAAACCATGTCTAATGAATTACTTACCACAAATTAGAATCTTTTCTAACAATTAGAGTCACATGATTTCTGATTTCTGAATGTATTACCATTGCAGTTGCCTCAAAATGTGCTGACTGCCAATAGCATGGGAAATCTTGCGGTGATAATAAAGCTTCAGTTGGTAGATAGCGAGGAACAAGAACCAAGAAAATATTGGTCAGCTTTCTCTAAGACACTGGTGAAATTATTAATATTTCTGGTCATTAAGCACATTAGTCAACACTCTTCCTCAATATATTATTTTATTTTTACTCAGAATTTAACAATTACCTTTACAAATGAATTATAAATTGATAAGAAATAATATAAAAATTGACACAAACTCGTAGAACAATCCAAGGTATCAAAATTTAAAGCTTCATTTTGAAGCAGTCAAAAACATTAATTTCACTGAACATATCCACTAGAAATTCTACTGACAAGAAAACACAACAGACAGTAATATAAAATAACAACTACTGAGTTATTTTCATTTAGTGGAATTAATAAAATAGCGAGCAAATGACCAAAACCGTTTCATTGTACATGTGATGCAGGTAGCAAATATATAGACACAAACTTCTTCATTTCAACATAAAAATACCCTGAATGTCTTTGATACAACAACAAATAATTGACTTAACCAAGAACAGAACTTACTTTATCACCATAGCCTTTTCTTCTCTCTATTCCTATAACTAAGCTCTCAGGTGTTTGATACCAATAGTCAACATGTTGCAACATTTCATCTTAAGAAAAAAAAATCATCCTAGAGTTTATTTGAAATTCAGCATATTGTGTATGACAACTGAGTGTGTTAACACAAGTAGTATATACTGAAAACACTCAAAGAACATAACAACATGCATATTGATTACTAACCTAAGAGACCTTGCTCAGTGCCTGAAGAGAAATCAGCACGTATATTATCAGGTACATCTTTCAAACTATACAACACTCTATCCTGTAAGTACTTGTTCAACATACCATCAATGCTATTTCAAAACTCTGGAGTTAAATAAATTATATACCAGGGTAGTAAGAATGTTTGTAAAGGAAAGTATGTACTAAATAATGAATTTAGAATTTATCTTGGTAACAATAAACAAACATAAAAGACTGACATAAGAAATGACTTATGTCATTCTACAGTTCGTGGACTACTTTACCAGCCCGGTGTGCAAGATTAAATGTATTAGATGGCTTTCATCATGTGACCATAAATTTCTGTGCGCTAGCAATAGACTATGGTATCTACTGTGTAAGCCAATAATCTAGCAAACTGAATATCATTCACAAAATGTATACTGTGGATACATTTGTAGGTAGCTACTCTCCACAACTTCAAACACAAAAAAATTCTGGCTACTATAAATTACCATAACCTGCCGTTTTTGCAGATGGTATCCCCTCATGGGCTTCCAAGTCAAATCGTTAATTTTTAGCCCTCACTTTATTTATATAACAAGGCGGAATGTAAAATTTAAGAATATATTGTTTACTGCAGTCTTCATACTCTTCATTTTCATATATCCATCTTCTTCTTCTTTTCCCACCTAAAGTACTAGTTATGACTAGTGCCAATTGCTATAATAAAGTTGAATTCAAGTATGAGAAAAATAAAACAATTACACTGTATCAAATAATAATTATAATGGAAGAATCACATTCATAGATTAATTATCTATTGAGAACTAATCTTTGAGATAGTCTTCAGACACATGTTAAATACAACAAGTCATTGAAAATGACACAGTCCCCGTTAAATTTTTGAAAGTTCTGTTTGCGCTCGTCATATTAAAGCAGAGGGGTTGTCGCGAGCATGTCCTTGAAACTTGAGTTCCAAGTGGCGTATACAACAGATTGTTTATTTACATTAAAACATGTGTTCCGTGTAGTAGTAATATGACCAAAAATAAAAACAGCCGTTATTCGGCCATCTTTGATCTGATTATGAAACACACTGATATGTATGATGTATGTGCCAAATACGAATGAAAATGATACATAAATTGTGGAAATATAGTAGTAAGGCCAAAAAGTCAGATGGCCGTCAATCGGCCATCCTTGACCAGATTTTGAAACAAATTGTCGAGGACATGCATTTGCCAGATTTGAATGAAAACTGACAGAGCACGTCCAAGATGCCGCATAAAAAAACAAAAACAATATGCCTGCCAGTCGACCATCTTTCATCTAATTGCGAAATGTAATGGACATGTATCCTAACATTTATAATCTATGTACCAAGTTTGAATGACAACTGACAAAGTTTGTCCAAAATACAACATTTTCAAAAAACAAGATGGCCAGTCGGCCATTTTGAACCGAATCGCTAAACCACTGCATGTGCATATGTCCCACATAAGGTACTAGGCACATGCAAAGAATGAACGGAATCGGTCCAAGGGATTCTGAGATATGACTCCGGACGGATGGATGGAGACCGAATTATAAGTCCCCGTTTTCCGACTTCGTCCGAACAGGCACTAACACGTTGTTAATGACATAGTCCCCGTTCAAACTTTTTTGACTTGACATTGGAATTCGATGCCACATCAAGCGAATTGTGGGTTTGATTTGAATGGTCGCCTACTCACTTAGCAGTGATAATTCAAATTGCCTCATGGCATATCTAGTTAGGAGAATGGCGTACTGTCAGAGATGGGCAGTGAAGAAGTTGTCCTGTGTGTTCCCAGCACACATGTAACAGTAGTGCATCACAACAGGATGACTGTAAATATTTAAATGTGTGTAAGTGATGTATCATCTATAAATTGACATTGGAACATATGTATGGTGTGTATGAGTGAGTATATCCACAATGTTCATTGTAACTGGCAAATAAATAAATAATATTGTACTATAGGAAAAACATAGGGTCAAAGACAAACAACAAACATCTGTATATACATACAGGACAGATAAACAATATACCAAAAACTCAATTTTGGAGGAACAAAGTACAATGCATGTACTCTCTTACCTCACTTTCAGCTGCCATTGCTTTCAAAATTTCTTACATACAGCTCTTGAGGGTCACAACCAGACTTTTGGGCCATTCCTGTACATGGTAGGCTACATAGTAAATTGACAACAGCAGTCTTGTATTCAACTTGAATATTACCAGTGTTACCAATCAATGAAATTAACTTCATGGAATACAGTAAAATAAATAGTGTGAAAGTGCTGTTACATACCAGCATACATTTTTAAAATAATTCAGTCTCATCAGTTCCAATAACTTATAAGAAAAATATATTTATATGGAAATTAGTGAATATGTGTCAAGTGATGAGAAATTAGAATGCAACACAGGAGGGCCATGACACATGGAGTTATGTATTACTGTCTGCTTAGAATATCAAATCATGTTGAAACAGGATATGTGTAGCATACATGTATATAGGGCATGTCATCCAAGATCAGAGTACAGCCAACATACTGTCAGAAATATAGCAGGTGTATGTACAAATGACAGCTATTTTATATACACATTTTGTATATACATGAAGACTTACATTAATAACAGCTTCAATACATGGACCTCCATCTACCATTACCTTCAGTAGTTCCATTATTGGCTTCATGCATGCAAGAAGATTAATTACCACATTCACTGCACAAGAATTATCTATATTTGGAAGACCTTAATTGAAGTAAAATATAGAAAAATAATTATTAATCAGTGCCATGCTGTGATACAATCTTGTGATTTAACAACACTATGCAAAATGCAGAGTCTACTAAGCTGAGTACAAATCAGTATTGCTTAATCACAAAGTAACAATTATGATATACATGTAAAAAGAAATACAAGTTTCACAAAAAACTTCACAAAACAGTAACATTATACATTATGCCAATACAGCTAAAATACAAAAACTTAATTAAACAACTATAAAAATGTTTAGTTTAATAGATTTAAGTAAAATATTATCAATTACAGACATGCTACTAATAAACTATAGGACACCATAGACTATGGTGTACCTCAATCATTGACCAACATAAATGTCAGTTTATATGTTTGTATATAGTTACCATAACCTTCTTTCTTTTCAGTGCTCTCAGCATTGTTAATAATATCTCTAAGAGTAAGATCCTAGTACATGTAGACATGAAAACTATCCTCAGTTAACCTCAATGTAACTAAACATCAAAATGCATCAAATTCAGGAGCAAAAATTTGAATGTTTCAAATGATTTTCATCAGATTTGCTATTGATTTGAGATTAA